AGAGGAGACATGAGAAGAAGATTGTCCTGATTAGTTTTATATCAACATGACACAAACTGGAGTCACCTGGAAAGGAGGGCTTTAAATTGAGAAAATGCCCCTATAAGATCTGTCTGAGACAAGTCTTTGGTGCATTTTTTTGATTGATGGATTTGAGAGAGCCCAGCTCACCAGGAATGGTACCACTCCAGGGCGGGCAGTCCTGGATAGTACAAGAAAGCAGGCTGAGCAAGCCATGGGTAGCAAGCAAATAGCCGTGGCTTCCGCTTTAGTTCCTACTTCCATGTTCCTGCCTTGAATTCCTGCCCTGGCACTCCTCAGCAGTGATTATGATCTGAGAGTTATGAGATTAAATAAACCCTTTCTTCCTCCAAGTTCCTTTTGGTCATTGTATTGTATGGCATCAATAGAAATCCTATGCCATGGTGTGCACTGCTTAGCCTCAGAGGACATCACTTAGAAGGTACAGAGAGATGAGCCTGGGAAGGGGCAGGTAAACAGTGAAGATGCCACAGAGAATGACTCTATGGAAAGCATGGGAGGGACTAGCCTTCCACCCACATTCCTACATGTCTTTCTGGTCTAAATGTATGTGCTATAGGCTGTTAATAGCCCGTTCTGCCCCACGTTTGGGGGCCTCTTTGTCCCGGCTCGAGCTGCTGCTCTGGTCTGTGGGTCAGGGTCTAGCAAGAGAGAGAGAGTGGGGATGGAAGGGCAAGAGATGTGAAGAATGGAGACAAGACAGAGAGTCTGTTCAAGTCCCGTTTATTGAAAGGAAACCATGGGTATATACAAGCACACACAGGGGAACACAGCTGAAGACACTTTACCACGTGCGCCTTGCAGCTGGGGGCATTAAACAACAAAACAAGATATGTGAGAAAAACAAGATGTTTATCAGAGTGCGCTCAGCTGTTGTAGGCTGTTGAAAACAAGTCTCTTGTCAGGGTATATGGGCTGAGATGGCTGCAAAGATGATAGCCGCTTTCTGCTAGGAGTCGGCTCCCAACAATAGGCCCTTTACTCAGAAGTAAAAATTTCCCGAAGAAGGATATGATTGCTCAGCCTTAGGTACCTGTGAACTATTGCCTTCATTGGGATTTCTATTGTGAGGAAATGCCATGATTAATGCAACTTGTGGAGGAAAGGGTTTATTCTGCCTACACTTTCACATTCCAGTTCATTGTCAAAGGAATTCAGGGACAGGAATTCAAGCAGGGCAGGAACCTGAAGGCAGGAGCTGATGCAGAGGCCATGAATAAATGCTGCTTACTGGCTTGGTCCTCATGGCTTTGTATAGCCTGCTTTCTTACACAACTCAGGACCACCAGACCAGGAATGGCACCACCCACAATGAGCTAGACCTCCCCCCAATCAATCACTTAAGAAAATGTCCTACAGGCTTGCCTTACAGCCTGATCCTATGGAGGCACTTTCTTACTTGAGATTCCCTCCTCTCAAATGACTCTACCTTGTGTCAAGTTGACATAAAACTATCTGGCACAGCTACTGACTCAGGAAGCTGTCGTCTGCACACACTATGGATTCACTTTTTGAGCATACACACAACTCTTGAAGAGAACATAGCTTCCTCTGGCTATCTCCCCTTTCTCCATCTTGAAATCCCTGTGCCCAGGGTCTTCTGTTCCATCCCTGGATAGGCTGAGTTCTTCCCATGCAGAATCTTGCTGCTCCCCTGCCTACTCCAGCTCTCCACAGTCTTAGCATGGCCTCCTTGTCATGCTTCGAGGTTTGAATTCTAAAGACACCCCTCTAGACAGCTCTCCTATTCAATATGATCTTATTCCTGATGGCTTGCTGTTTGTAGCATTTGCTAGTTTGTAACTACTGACTTTTTTAAAATATATATTTAATGGAAACAGAATTATATTCCTGTCCTCTTCCCTTTTCTCCCTCTGGCCCCTCCCAGCTACCATCCCTGCAACTCTTTCCATGCCCCAAACTGATAAGCTCTTTCTCTCTTATTATTATTGTTGTGTGTGCACACACACATGCGGACTAATACATAAATATAGCTGGCTAAGTTTGTTTCTGTTGTGTGTATGTGGTTTCACTCATACACTGGCCAGCCAATAAGGAGGCTCATCTTTGGGAGAGGCTAATTCTCGTTCTTCGTGGAGTCATTAGTTGCCTGTAGTTTAGGAGTCGTTCCTCTTAGAATTCTCCTTCCTCCACGTTAATGTGTCCGTTGATACTGTGATTGGTCTGCTCTCATTTATGCGGCCATTCCTAGGAGAGACTTTCACAGCAGACTTCCTGGTATTTCAGCTCTTTCCACCACTACTTCTTCAATAGTCAGGGAGTTGTGATGAAGATATAACCACTGGGGCTGGAAGCCCCATGGTTGGTTCATCTCTGTACCATATCCAGTTACAGTTTTCTGTGATGATCTCCATCTGCTATAGAGGAAAACTTTGATAAGGGTGGTAGCTACACTTATCCGTGGGAATAAGGATAAGATTTAGAACATACTAAGGAATTGTGCTGGTCTAGCAAAGTTTATTGCTAGTATACGTGGGAGTAGTATATTCTTTTTTAAAATCCATTACCTCACTAGCCCCGGCAACCTGGGTAGGTTTTCAGTACCAGGCCTGATAATTCCTTCTGTTGAGTGGGCCATTAATCCAATCAGCTATTGGTTGTCATTGACACATGAGTGCTATTTATTGTACTTTTATAGATATATTTCTGTGCTGGTCATTGTCATAGTTCAAGGTGTTGTAACTGAGTAGGAGTGTTTAATTGTTTCCCTCCCTTGGCAGCTTGCATAGTATTTTTGGAAACATGGAAGCTAGGTTGTCAGAAAGAGGCTTTCGGGTCAGATGAAGCTTGAGTCATTTGAGTCCTGTATCCTAAGTGTGTTGTGTCTTTAGCACTAAAGGCTCACCTTCAACCCCTGAAAGGCAACCAAGGGCCATGTCAAGGGTCTATATTATTTTGGGAGTAACTTGGACTACTGTAACCACCATTCAGTAGGAGGTTTCTCATACCTACTGCAGAGATTCACTAGTCTATGGTTCTTGTGGGGAACATTGTCAGCCCACATGTCAGCTTTCTTTAAGCTACATACACACACACACACATGCACACACACACACACACACACACACACACACACTCACGTATAACTTTAAGTAAATATAAAATAATTCGATTCTTTGAGACTTTATCAAACAGTGCTAGTAGCCTGGTGTTGTGTGTCTCTCCTCCCCCCGTCTTTACTGACCTCTCTCCTCATCACTATTCACTTTTTAGTATTTGTGTGTGCGTGTGTGTGTGCATACACGTGCATTATACATACATATGCGTGTGCATGTGGAGGTCAGAGGACAGCTTTTAGGAGACTGTTATTTCCTCCAGTGTAGGTTCTGAAAATCAGTCTCAGGTTGTCAGACATGATGGCAAGTACCCTGACCCACTAGACATCCTATCAGCCCACTACTGATTTTTTTTTTAAATACCAGTCTCCTCATCAAGAATAGAAGCTCTGAGGCTGGAGAGAAGGCTCAGAGATGAGAACACTTGTTGCTCTTGCAGAGTACCAGTTTCCAGAACCTGCAAGACACCCTGCAATCATCCAGAATGCTAGTTCCAGGGGATCCAGGCCTCAGTAGGCACCAGGCATGCATACAGCTCACTACATATATGCAAGCAAAACACTCATACACACAAAATAAAATAAATCTTTATTTTTTTAATGACTAGAAACTAGGCAATATACATCTCAGTGATTCCCAACTGGGTGTTGCTTGCAACCCTGACCAAAACCCTTGGGGCAGGGGTAAGAAGGCACAGAGTCAACGACACAGACTCCAGGAGTCAGACAAGTGGCAAAAGCAGACTCATTTATTGCAGGAACTGGACGAACCTTTATACCCCACACCCAACATCTCATTGGCTCTCAAGTAGCTAGACCTGATGTTCACTCTTTCTCATTGGCTCACTCTATTGTCTGATCCAGCATCAGGGGTCTCTTAGCCATGTTGGCAGATTCTAGGTTGGCTCAGGGACTAAGTGTCAGCAGAGTAGGCAGGCCAGGTGCATGTGCTAGCATTGTGGCTGGGCCTGCTTAGCTAAATTCCCCCTATAACTGGGAACAATTGTGACCGACAGGGGGCATGTCTAAAGCACTTGGAATTGTCCAAATGAAGGAAACAAGGTACAGCTGACTGGTAGAGGCCAGAGATGCCATTGAGCACTCTTCGGTGCATGTGGCGGTCCCACAACAGAACTAACTGATCACCCAAATACAGGAGTACCAAGGCTAGCTGGCTGTGGTGGCTTTAATCACTGCATTCAGGAACCAGAGGTAGATCTGTGATTTTTGAGGCCAGCCTGCTCTATAGCACGCTTTAGAATAGTCAGGGCTACACAGAGACCCTGTCTTAGAAGAAAAGTGCCAAGGGAGTGCTTGCGGTTTCGTTGGCTGCCTTGCCCTTGTGGAGCATGGAGCCCTACAGCAGCAGGTACCTGATGAGTGTTCAGCGCACTGGAGCTGAGCTGAACAAACCCAGAGAACTGCTGTCTGAACATTGCATTTACATTCTTGTACCGGTCAGAGGAAGGTTTAGGTGGTTTCATGATGACGACTCAAAGGAGCCATATCTTCCCACAGTCAGGGTGATACATTTCTGGAAAATCCCTGCTAAATCTGGCTTCCCAAATGAAAATAGCAGTAAGAATTTGCTCACGAGAATTGAGAGGGGTGAACCTTAAAGAGAGAGCAGATAAACGGTTATTGCAACATCTTACACAGAGTAGGGCTTTTGAGATCTACGGAAATTGTAAGAAAAAAAAAATCTCCCAACCAAAACTCTGTAGGAATCCTTTCAGTTTCCACACAGAACTAAAAAAGGGTTTCTGGTTCCCTTTAGGAGCCCTAAGGGGATGTGGAAGGGGAACGAGAGGGGAAGAGAGAGACACTCCAGGTGGAGAGGTGACATGGGCGGGGCACTGATCAAATCACTTTGTTTTGTAGCATGGACAGAAACACTGACAGAGATCCACAGAAGCAACTGAACCAGAAGACTATGAATGACCTCACCCAAAACTCACAGGATGGATTGCTGGTTACACATGTTAACCAGACCCAGGACTTACTGGTAACAACCATATTGCTTTAGTTCACCAGTGATGCTTACAGATCATAGCAGGGAATGGGGAATGTGCTGAGCTCTTTCTTCAATAGGACCCAGCATTGTGGATGGGATTAAGCACTCCTCTGCAACCCCCTGGATTTAGAAAGTAATGAGTTTCTCTTGGCCACACAGTTCTTCAGCCCATGGGAACGTCATTGCCTATTTAGGAACATGTGAGGATCCTGGTTTCATTACCAAAGCCTGAAGTACAAAGCGTTTGATTCTGAAGCTCCCTTTCCTAAGATTCTCTTATAGGAGTCCCTAAAACCTTGGTCCAGAACTCTACTTCAGGAAGTGTTGTGGGAACAGGAGGGCCAGGGCAGAAGGCTTAACTTTTAAAAAGAAAGAAAAAATAAATAAAACCACACTGTGGTTTCAGATTCACTCCATGTGCAAGTGACCCTCCACCTAACATCATAGACGACTCAGAATTCTCTCTACCACGGAAGCCGTCATCCCTACAAGTTGTGAGTGGAAGGTAGCTGGCCACCACCCACCAGGAAATCCACACTAGAATATAAAAGTATATCCAGCCTTATAACACCATCAGTGAAACAGCCAGAAAAACAGTCACGTCACTTTTACTTCTCTCAAGTTTAAGCATTTATGGGAGAACAGATTTAACTGAACAGAAACAAGAAAGCCAGGCATGGAGATACAGACCTAATAATCTCAGCGTTCTGGAGCTAGAGGCAAGAGGATCAGGGATTCAAGGACAACCTCAGCTCTCTGCTACTGTGAGGCTAGCCTGAGACACATAAGACCCTGTCTAAAAATAAAAAATAAAAATAAAGAGGAAATACAGATAGAAGAAGTCATTCAGTGGCATCAGCTGCCAGTGATGTGGGTCTTTGTTCCTCTAATTTCATCTCAGATCAGCCGACTTTCCAGGTGTGGACTTACCTTTATCAGTTACAGACAGGCCTCTTGCTTCTCTTCCCAGGGCAGTGAGAGGGTTCTGACTGCCTGGCACTGAGCATGCAGTGTTGTCCATGTAAAGTGTCCACTTTACAGACCCAAGGCCCACCCCAACCAAGAAGCTATTCACAGTTGGTACCCACAAGCAGAAGGAAAATCAGTTTTCTCTAATAGAGTGTTTCAGGGGAAAGAAAAAGAGAGCATAAAGTTGGGGGAGGGGGTAATGTGTGAGGAGTTGGGTAAAAACATGATAAAAAATGTATCGTATGGACTAGGCATAGCAGTACATGCCTTTAATCTCAGCACTCAAGAGGTAGAGGCGGGTAGAGCTCTGTGAGTTCAAGGCCATCCTGGTCTACATAGTGAGTTCCAGGACAGTCAGGGCTACACAAAAACACCCTGTCTAGAAAAAGGTGTATATATTTTTCCATACAATATATAAATATTATATACATAAAATATTATATACATACAATATATATTTTTATATATTGTATAAAATCTTTTAATAAATAAATTTAAATATATATACATAATTTAAAATTTTTTAATGCCCACTTTTGCAGAAGATCAGGAGGGCCCTCAGTCCACAAGTGACATGTGTAGGAACGGACTTTCAGCTATCTGCGGGGCAAAAGCCACCGCCTGAAACATGACAGACCATTTCAAGTGCAAGATGGGAAAAGGGTGTGTGATCAGTGTCATGCACATGGTATCCTGGAGGAGGACAGTGCCATCCAGTGGCCACAGGATGCAAAGCCTTGTTTCCTGAAGCGGGTGGTTAAGAATAGTGCCTGGCAGCAAGCCTCCCTCTCAAAGGCAGGACAGGTATTCTTAGCATTGAATCATTCAATGAGAAAGCCTCTCCTGCAGAGAACCGTAGTTCGTGCTCATTCAGATAATCAGTGTAGTCTTGGTTTACAGCTTTTCCAATGAGTCCCAGCTCCATCACCGTCATTAGCTGTGTGATCGTGGGCAAATCGCTTAACTGCTCTGTTCCTCAGCTTCCTTGTCAGAAAAGTGTCCATCTCACGGGATTACATAACTGCTATATGGAAAGTGCCCGGCTTAGCCTAGGCGCTGTGTTAGTGTTTGCAGTAATTAGGAGTGTGTGTTCACACATCCTGAGCACTTGCTAACAGAAATGGTCCTGGGCAAAGAGTGCAAGGTGGGCAACACCAGCCTCAGCAGCCTTTTGTTTTCACGGCCTTTGTTTAGTGACAACTCTGCTTATAACCAAATGGGAGAGAAAAAAAAGAGCGTTGTTGAGAAACAAAGGTGCAGAAGGGCTCAAGGTCACGTCTGTGCCCTTGAGGTCACATCTGTGCCCTAGCTTCCCCTGCCCCTCACATGGTTAAGGAGAGGGCAGTGCCTGCAAGAAAGCTAAGGCCCAGAGACGCCTGCATGTCTGTTCCTCCAGCCTTTTCCTCCAGTGTCGTCTGTCCTCTGCAGAGTGACTCATTCCACTGCAGTAGACAGCTTTCAGCCCCCAGTCAGCCTACTTGCCAACTACAGTGGAAACCCTGATCTACACAAGTCCAAAGATGAACCACCAAGGGTGTCAAGAATGAGCTCAAGGCCATTTCCATAGTCATCAGATGCTATGGTGTGTGTGTGTGTGTGTGTGTGTGTGTGTGTGTGTGTGTCTGTCTGTCTGTCTGTCTGTGTCTCACAGTGGGACCTGAGTTGGATTCCAAACCCTCAGTGAACAACAGCTTCTCAGCCTTTTACCTGAGATTAAGCAGATGGTCCAACTCCATCTGTATTCAAGGCCCTTCTGTAGCACACAGTCAGCAGCAGGCATTACACAGGAGGCTCTGACCCTGCTTTACACATTGGTGCAACTTATATGTGCGCAGTCTGTGCTTTTATAACACCACTTCTAACTTACTAATGTCTTCATTACAAAGCACTGTGACCAAGGTAACTTAAAAAGAAAGCATTTAGTTGTGGGCTTGCTTACAGTTTTAGAGGGTTTGTTCATGACGGTCATGGTAGGGAGTATGACAGCAGGCAGGCAGGTGTGGTGCTGGCGCAGTAGCTAAGAGCTTATGTCTAGAGATGACAAACACCACAAGGCACAGAGAGAGTCAGCTAGGATGTTGTGGATTTGTGAAACCTCAAAGCTCATCAGTGACACATGTCCTCCAACAAAGCCACACCTCCTAATCCTTCCCAAACTGTTCCTTCACCAACTGGGGACCAAATACTCAAATGTCTAAGTGCAGGGGGCCATTCTCACTGAAACCACCACAACTACACTCCAGCTGCCCTTTCCATCCTCCCATACTCCAGCCTCTGGATACCTCCATGGCTCCTAGAATGGCCTCCCTTGCTGTGTGTAGGACTGGCTCCTTCTTAGCCCTCAGTGCCTGGCTCAGTGGCCTTGTCTGACTGCCTCTCAGCCAGGCAGCCTCTCAAACCACCCTTGCCATTTTCCAGCCACTTTTCTTCCTGCCTTCTTATCAGGCAGAAGACAAGAATGTTTTTACTTGCATCATAGCCAGAGCAACGACTCAAATACCCAAGAAGAGATAGATCAACAAGGGAAAGGTGGCTCAGTCTTAAGTCAAGGCTGTCTGAGGCTGGCTCTGGAAAGCAGTGCTAAGTGCTTGTGGTGCTGCCAGGTCTGCACACATACACTACAGATGTCACCAAGCACCAGGTATCATCACACATTTGATGGCTCAGTCCTGTGATGAATAAGGACTTATTCCTCTAAATACTCACCCACTCACTCCTCTGGTTCTAGGCTCAGATGGAGCTAGAATTCCCTGGTCTCTCCCTGACCAGTTAGTGTTTGTTGAGGTCTCTTGGAATGCTAGGGGACAGAACTTACCTGAAAAGATCTAGAGCATGTAGTTTTGGAAATAAGCAAGATCATCCCACTGAGAACAAACCAGAAATGTATCCCTGCTCACCACAAGGGAGCAGCCCCTATGACTTGTGTTTGCTGTAGATTCAACAACAGGCTGGGAAATAGAACAATTCATATGGAAGAAAGGGCCTCCTAGTACCTCTGACCCTGAGCTCTCAGCAGGTGGAGAGAGACTCAACAGAAGGTGGTATTTTCTGTGACTGGTTTGGGAGACATACTTGACTTTCTCCAGATGGTCCTGTGTTAGAAGCAGAGGCAAAAAATACATGGGAAGCTAATTGATCAAATCCCAACCATTCTGGGGCAATTTTTGCAGAAGTTATGATTCTACAATTGTGTCGTCTGGTCATTGTATGTCTATCTAATCCCTCACATAGTAAACTGCCCTTAAATCTGCGAGCCACATTTGGGGCCTGATATAAGGGTGGTGTCACCAGGGCAACCAACCTCATGTTCATGTTCAACATCCTCAGTGAGGGTATTAGCTTTGTTATTGCTGTTGTGACGTTGGTATTGGTGTGGATGGTTTTTTGTTTTGTTTTGTTTTGTTTTGGGTTGGTTTTTCAAGACAAGGTTTCTCTGTGTAACTTTGGTTGTCCTGGAACTTGCTCTGTTGAACAGGCTGGCCTGGAATTTATGAAGATCAGCATGGCTCTGCCTCCTGAGTGCCGGGGCTAAAGGCGTATGCTACAACACCTAGCTGGTGTTGGTGTTTTAAGACAGGGCTTTTGCTCTGTAGCTGAGACTGGCTTTGATCAGCCTCCCAAGTGCTGGGATTACTGGTGTATACCACTGTGCCCAGTTAGCAAGGAGAATTTTTAGAATATCTTGGGATCGGGTCTCTAAGAGTATACAACCCTTGGCTATCTGGTGAAGGGAATGAAGAGCATCTTCACCTGTGTCCCCTGCCTTCCCACTGTTTCCTATCTGACTCTGGTTTCTGCCTTGTAGCAGCTGCAGGAAAGTGAGACCCAGATGTCAGCTCTGGAAGACTCTGAAGATTGGCTTGCAACACACAGTTTAAAGTTTGAAAAACTCACCTTGGGTGACCTGATAAACCAGGGCACAATTGAGCTGTAAGTCTGAAGTTCTTCCACCCTTCCTCCCAAGCTCCCCAAGGCTGTGGTGGTACACCCAGCCCTGAGCCTGAGAAACCCCAAATAAAGCTTTACTCTTTCAGGGAGGAGCGTAACAATGCTGTGCCCAAAGTGCATTTCACCACCCAGGCCATCCACCACTTTAAATCAAGGCTTTCTGAGTAAGTTTCCCAGCATCCTCAACAATCCCAGAATTCGAGGCCTTCCTCTCATTTCATAACCTGCACATGACTGGTACCAACCAGCAATTCCAGTGGACCTGAAGCTTGTCTCACCTACCTCTCGTTTACCCTTTTCTAAAATGAAAATGTTAGACAAGACTGGTATCTCTCAGCCTTTGAAAGCCTTGGTGCCCTCCAGTGAATGCCTCAGACTTCCCAGATTCATTTGCTGGATAATGACTGAGAGCTTTGTCAGGCCGGTGCAAATATGTATCAGGCATTTCCCAAACCAATTATTTTTATGTGTATGAGTGTCTTGCCTGTATGTATGTATGTTAGTGCACACATATGTACCTGGTATCCACAAAGTCCAGAAGAGGGTGTTAGATCCTCTGGAACTGGAGTTACAGATGGTTGTAAGCTGCCTTTCGGGTACTGGGAATTGAACTTGGATTCCATGCATGCACGCATGCATGCACGCATGCATGCACGCACGCACGCACTCACAAACATGTTCCAATAATCAGTAGACAGGATGATCTTTAGGACTCTATCCCAGCTGTAGTAATGTGTAGTAATTACTGTTGCCTAAGGTTTCCCAAAAGATGATGATGGTGATAACATTTATTAATGTGCCTGAAACTCTGTAAGGGCTGCCCACAAGATCTTATTTCATCCTTAACAACTATCCAAAACATTGTATTGTTCTCCAACCAATTACCAAAAGTCAAACCAGTTAACCAACAGGTGATTGCTCAGCTACCATTCATACAGTGACTGATTAGTGGGATATATCAAAACGCTTTAACTATAAATTTTATAGAAAGTTCTTAGGGTCAGAATGTTCTAAATAATTCCTTGATATTTAGTTAGTTCTAAGTTTGTTTGTTTGTGACGGGGTCTGGGCAGCTCAGACTGGCCTTAAACCTGAGATTCTTCTGCCTCAGCTTTCTGAGTTATTGGATTACAGTATGTTACCCTGCACACATATGGAGTTCAGTAATATTTGGCTCTGTTGATTTGAATTGTAAACTCAACATTTTATTTTTATTTGTTCTTTGAATGTTTAATACATGTATGCAATTAAATATGGTCACATCTACCCTTCATTTCCTCCCAGATCCTTCCCCCAAACACTGCCTCCCAACCCCATGTCGTAGTTATCATCAGGTCCTCCTTCTCTTCCTTTTGATATATCACTAAGTCCAGGAAGTTGTATATCTATGTGTATGAGTGTGGGTCACTCCCTGGAACATGGGCAATGTACCAGACACCATCCTGCCAAAGAAAGGTGCGAATCCAACATCTTTATGGAATAGTCAAATCTGCTTAACTAAATTAGTCACTTGGCAAATTGACTTGGACGGGGTGCTGTGATTGTCTTTACATAGAAGATGATCAAACTCTGGGCTCAGAATCCTACACCTATCAAAGGTCGCACAATCTGTCGTAAATGGCAAAGCAAGGTCTCAAATACAAGTGTGTCTCGGTGTGAGGCTCAGTGTCTTAGCCCTGTATTCAAACTCAGTTACAGAGTGAGAGTCTGTCTCAAAAGATGTAGAAAAGGCCACACCTTTAAAACCCAGCAATAAGGAGGTAGAGGAAGGGAGAACCCTGTGAAGTTGAGGCCAGCCTGATCTACATAGCAAGTTATAGGCCAGTTAGGGTTATCCAGTGAAACTCTGTCTCAAAAAAAAAAAAAAAAGCAAGAAACAAAAGTAAAAGAGAAAGGTCTAAAAATTTAGATAACTGAAACTTGTAAAATCCTGCCACCTTTCTTATGTGTGTAAGTGATGGTGCTCGGTTGGTAAGCTTTCCTCTGTGTAAGTGACATCGGTGATGAACCTTCCCTGTGTGTAACAGTGCTCCGTGATGACACTGTCTGATGGTGACGAGTCTTTCTGCTGTCCCACCAGCACTCTTGAACTCTATCAGCAGAGGCTGCAGTGGCTCACAGAGAACAGCAAGAAGGTAATGGCCACGTGTGTCTCTTCCCGCCCTCTTCAGCTCGGCTGCTTGGTTCGAGCCCTTTCCACTGCAGATGATGGTATACCAAATCAAGTTGGCATCCACTAAAACACAGACTTCTTAACCCACAAACACGAAGCCCACAGACAGAGCTGTGCTCTTGTTGCTGAGGTCCCAAGACTTTAAAATTTTAAAAACCCAGCCAGGCATGGCGACACAGACCTGTAATCCCAACACTGGGCAAGGCGAGGACACTGAGAATTCAGGCTGATGAGACAGCTCACAGGTAAAGGCAATGTTAGCCACACCTAACAATCTAAGTGTGATCGCAGGGCCTACATGGTAGAAGAACCAACTCTGGAAAGTTATCTTCCAATTCCTCATGTGTTCTCTCTCTCTCTCTCTCTCTCTCTCTCTCTCTCTCTCTCTCTCTCTGCCTCTCTCTCTCTTTCTTCTCCCCCTTCTCCCCCTATCCCTTCACACACACAATGTGATTTTTATTTTAATTTTTTGTTTGTTTGTTTGCTTGGTTGGTTTTTCCAAGACAGAGTTTCTCTGTGTAGCTCTGGCTGTCCTGGAACTCACTCTGTAGACCAGGCTAGCCTCGAACTCAGAGATCCACCTCCCTTTGTCTCCCAAGTGCTGGGACTAAAGGCATGCACCACCATGTCCAGCTCTTTTTTTTTTTTTTTTTTTTTTAAGAAAATTGAGAGACCAAGGGCTACCCTAGGCTACATATTTAGATTCTGCCTCAGAAATCTAAAAAAATTAAATTGTTCTTTTGGCTTAGTTTAATTTATGGGATGATCCTCCCAGAAGGTCACTGACGACACAAAGTTCACATTACCTTCCAGACCACTCCAGTCAAAGGGACCTCACACCATGGTCCCTACTCACACTCCCCAGTCCTAGGGTTATGTCTCGATAGCCTTCTTTAGAGCAGTCATCATGTTCAAAGGGTAAAGCATGCCAACTGGCTAAGCCTGAGGCTAGTGCACATGCCTGGGAAACACAGAGGCTGGAGGGCAGGGTCAGTAGGGAGGGCTGCAGAGGGGTGATGGGTCCAGGTCTCATGGACTGAGGAGGTGGTGACATGTGGAAAGGCGTGCTGCCCCCAGGAGGGAAGCCGTGTACCTGCATCTGCAGAGGAGCTAAAGCAGGGTCACGAGCTAGCCCTGTGCAGGCCGCATCAGGTCTGAAACAGTGTTTATTTTGGTTCCATAATTCCAAATAGTTTCACTTTAGTTGTCTAAATTTCAGAATATGCACATTTTACTTTTATGTTTGCTCTCTGACACCTCTTTAAAAAGGAGACTGTCTGGTATCACTGGGCTCTGGTTCCCTCAAATACACTTACCTGTTGTCTTTATGGGATAAATCCTACAATTTTTTTTACCAATAAATTTTTATTCCCTTTACATCCCAATCACATACCCCCTCCCTCCTCTCCTCCCAGTGCCACCCCTACATTCCTTTCCCCACTGTTTCCTCCCCTTCTCTGAGGAGAAGGGGAAGCCATCTCTTGGGTACCACCCCACCTTGGACATCTAGTCCCAGCAGGAATAGGCACAACCTAGACCACTGAGGCCCAGCCATACAGTCCAGCTAGGATAAGGGGATGCAAGTGGGGCAGGGAACAGAAACCAAGATGCCCCCCTTCACTTGTTAGGGGTCCCACGTGAAGACCAAGCTCCGTATTTGTTACAAATGTGTAGAGGGCCTAGGTCCAGCCCCTGCATGTTCCCTGGTTGGTGGCCCAGTCTCTGTAAACAAACCAAATAATTTTGATAGTTTTGATGGTGTACATGCATGCACACACACACACACAATCACACACACAGTAGCTGCCCTCAGAGAGCAGAGGGTATTGGCTCCCCTGGTGCAGAGGTAATAGGTAATTGTGAGCTGTTCTTCCTGATGTGGGTGCTGGGAGCTAAACACCAGTCCTCCGTAAGAGCAGAAAGCACTCTTAGCCACTGAGCCATTTCCTCCAGCCTCTTTTTACACTTTATTTTTTTACGGGATTTAAAAAAAATTATTATTTATTTTCTGTATATGGATGTTTTGTCTGTAAGCATATCTATCTACCACATGTGTCCCTGGTACCCATGGAAACTAAAAGAGGGCATCAGGTTCCCTGAAACTGGAATTGCAGACAGTTTTATTATCCACCATGTGGTTGCTAGAAATGAAACCCAGGTCCTCTGGAAGAGCAGCCTCTGGAAGAGAGTCTCTTGACAGCAGAGCTGTCTCCCCAGCCCCCAGCCCTCCCAATCTGCTCCCTTTATGTTTTAAAGGGAAGAGAGGAGCTCTGATTTTTAACTTCTGATTCCTTGTGGTAGAGGGAGGATACTCTGCATAGGACACCCAGGGGAATGACTCTGAAGAAGAGACACCAGAGCAGATGAATAGTGAGCCAGTGAGCAGAGACTGTCCCAGGCAGAAAACCAGCAAGTCCAAAGGTCCCGAGACCTGTGGCGTGCTCCAGAAGCAACAAGCAGGGCAGTGTGTCAGGATGGAGGACGCAATGTGGAGAATGGGTATGAAGCTGGTCAGGTTCAGATCAGGGAAAGCCAAAGAGAAGGCTTTCAGACAGCACTGATGGGGTTAACGCATTTCAAAGGAGCAGCCTGGCTGCTGTGTTGGCGAGTTGAATGCTCAGGAGGAAACACAAGACAGGCCAGGTGAGAACCATAGTGATTTAGACTTACGTAGATGGGACGAAATAGATTCAGGAATAGTTGGGCGGGTAGGATTGGTGGATGGCTCGGACAGGATGGAGCCAGGGTGCCCAGGCCAGTGCTGAAAGCCATTTACTGAAAAGTGAAAAGCTAAGGTTGGAACAGGTTTGGGGAAAACCAGGAGGCCTTGTCTGAGATGTAAAAAGTAAGAGAGTCTCACCAAACATCCAGGCGGAGGAAGAGCAGTGCTCAATGGCACAAGTCTGAAGTTCCAAAGATCAGCTTGGTGACAGCCTTAGGAAACTAAAGGCGTTCAGATGAGAAACGTGAGGCTCAGGAGTTCAGGGGTTGGGGATTTAGCTCAGTGGTAGAGTGTTTGCCTTGCAAGCACAATGTCCTGGCTTCAACCCTCAGCTTTATAATAAATAGATAAATACCTTATGGAATGAGTATGGAACAGTGGTTTCCAACTGATGTGTATTTAATGGTGACTTTGCTGTCACAGGGGCCATTTGGCAAGACCTGAGAACATTCTTGATTGTCACAGCTAGCAGATCTGGAGACGCTATCGGCATCCAGTTTAGAAATATCCAAGGGTACTGTTAAACACTCTAAAATGTTCAAGTCAGCTTCTCACAACAGAGAACCACCCATCCTCAAACATCTACCAAGCCAAAGCGAGAGAGCCCAGATCAAGTTGAGAGTGGATGGTGGAGCCTTTATTAATTACTTGTGCAGTGCTGTGACCGAAACCTTCCACATCCCAGTCCATCATGGAAGGAAGTCAGGGCAGGAACTGGGAGGCAGGAGTTGATGGAGAGACCATGAAGGAGTGCTGCTTACTGGCTTGTCCCTCATGGATGACTTGCCTGCTTATTTATAGCAGCCAAGGTCACATCCCAGGGGTGGCAGTGCTCACAGTGACCTGGGCCCTTCACATCAGTCACTTATTTTAAAAACGTCCTACAGGCTTGCCTACACCCAGATCTTATGGAGGCATTTTCTCAGTTGATGTTCCCTCACCTCAGAAGACTCTAGCTTGTGTCAAATTGACATTGTAGCCAGCCAGCACACCAACTTAAAAATCAGTGTTAGTATTTTATCACTGTGACAGAAGTACTTGGATATAAAGGATGGAAGATTGACTTTGGTTTTGGGGTTCAAAGGTCTCGGTCCATCCTTATCTTTTAAGTCCATTGCTTTTAAGCTGTGATGAGGCAGACCACCATGGTGGGGAACATGTGATAGAGCAAAGGTCATGTCAGCTGAGGGGAGGGAAAAAGGAAGAGGAAGAGAAAAAAAAGAAAAGGAGAGGTGAAGGGGCACAGGACAAAAAAAAGTAAACCCCAAGGAAATGCCCATGTTCCTTTAAGCAGGTCTCCTCCTTCAAAACTTTCCACCACCTCCCAACAATAACCTGACGTTGTAGATCTTTCATAGATTAGGGCTGGGCTCTCATGGTAACGGAATCTGTCACCTGGGAACTAAGCTTAAACACATGAGCCTTTAGGGGAACACTTTTGAGGGCAGTCTCTAGGGCAGGAGGAATCTGCCTCTAGAGGAAGACAGAGTCTCACTCTGTAGCCCAGGCTGGCCTTGAGCTCCCAAAAATCTTCCTGCCTAAGCCTCTCAAATATTGGAATTATAGGAGGCCTGATCCACCATGACTGGGTGGGACTCTCCATCTCTAATGAACCCTTAGGTGACAGTCATGTCGCAGTTTCCTTCGATGCTGCAGTAGTCTCTTACAATATGAAACAAAGAAGAGTGTCTGCCTAACAAGGGCCTAAATGTCATATGCTGACAGACTGTCATGGCTAAACTGTACCATCAGCTATTGGAGTTCAAGGAAGATGAGACTCAGAGTCATGGGGATAAGGACAAGGAGCTCTAGTTGGAAGCAGAGAAAACAGTAGAGAAAGGAGAACTTAAGTCTTTTGTGAGATAGGCAAGAGTCTAGCCTGCTTGTATGGTAACAGAGTATATAGCCATATGCAGGAGTACTGAACTAGGAGGCAGGCCAGGGGTAGGACCAAAGTCCCTAGTTGACCAGAGAAGATCCAGTAACTTGAGTCACAGGTTGGCTTAAAGCAATAGCCCTAGACACAGTTCTAGACACAGGTAGCACATTGGTAGATTCTGCATGGGAAGGTTTTGTTTTTATCATATAGCCATTGTACAGAATGATGGGTTTCACTCTGGTAATTTTATTCATATGTGCATCATTTAACTTTGCTGAGACTCATATTCTGTGACCCTTATCACCCTGCCCTTCCCACTGGTTCCTTTCTTCAGGAACATATGTATGGTATATATTCATGTGCATGTGTGTGTACAGACACATACACCCAAGTAACTATGCAAGGAACCCAGTGATTGACATCAGAATCTTCCTCTATCACACTCCACTTTGGTTTTTGAGACAAGGTCTCTCACTGACCCTGGAGCTCACCATTTAGGCTTGATTGACTGTCCAGTGAGTACCCCCCCCACACACACACACCCCAGCATCCACTTGCTTCTGATGTCCCAGCCTCTGGGGTTACAGGACATGTATCTTCTTGTTCAGTTTTTATGTGGGAACTGAGGCTATGAATCCAGGTAGGTCCTCAGGCTTGTGTAGTAAACACCCCAAGAAGTAGTTAGCCATTTGGATTTTGTTTGTTTGTTTTTTAGTTCTGTTCCATTTTATGAGTAAAAACTGGAGGAGAAATCACTTGCTAAGGAAGTTCAGGAAAGGAATGTTGGAGGAATAATCACAGGGCATGTCAAAGCTTCATCTTGTCAGAACAATGACTTAACAGGGAATGAGGAATCCAGCCCCTGAAGGATTCTGAGTTCCTGCGAATAAGAGCGCCAGTTCCCACCGATGTTCTCACTGTGGGATAAACGCACACGTGGGATCTGTCAGCACTGGTGTGGTGACGGTAATCCCTGTTAGAAGCTTAACTAAGAACTCATACAAGTATGAAGGTCACTGGCGACCTTCACATATCTTTCACTGAGAAGATAAAGCATAAATAGGGACAGAAAGAGATCAGTATTATAGTCATTATATTAAATATATATTTATTATTAATTATATTAATGATAGCATTAGACATCCACCAAAGCATGCTTTTCCATAACTTTTCTGTAACAGTGTGTGTTGTTGCGTGAAGCTGGTCAGTAGCTTCAGGAGAAACCACCCCCCAGAGCAGACAGTGCCAGGATCCCCATAGGGCAGGGCCTCAGGTCTTGCTTTTCTCTTGTAGAACGGTGCTCCCACCTTGCCTCTTTCTGTTGCAATGAGAGGGGCTGTTCACACCTCTGCCTCAGAAGTAGGGGATTGGGCTGCTTGTTTGCACATTTCCTCTTTGGTTTTAGGCATTTGGCCTCATCAAGGGATCAAGAGTGGGCCTCCTCATAGATTCGTCGCAGGTCAGCAGTGGCCCTCAGACAGAGGAATTCCAAAACGACCTCACAGTAAGTTTCTAGCACAAGGAGTACCTCTCCAGCCTCCCACTTCACCAGAACTCCCAGCATGCAGGACAAACTCGCTTTCTTTACAGCAAATGCAAAACAGGGCCATTCACAAAAACAGTTCTCACTCAATTAGCACCTGTGGGGAAAGATCTGTGTCAAATTCTGTGAAAGCTCACCACAGACTCATTCTCACTTTCAGTGTGAACTTCTAGTATTCTTTCCACAGCAGAACCTCCCAGCCAGACTCCCGCAACCCCTGAAAAAGCCCAGATTCCCTCAAAACAGGATGCCGGCTGGAGTCTGTGGGGCTGACTGCAGCATAGTACAGCACAGCCTTGGGCTCCTGGCCTTTTTCCGATGGGAATGCTATTCTGGTTGCTTTGACATTTCCAAAATAAAAAAGTGAAGTCAAATCCCAACTACCTCCACCGCTTCCAGGCTTTGTGCCCCTGGTACCTCTGTAAAGCAAGGGGGACAATATGGCCACCACACACAGCTGTCAGGATAAAAAGACTTTATGCAAAGCCTCCCCACCCCCATCCCCCCACCCCCAGCCCTAGCTACATCTGGCACAGATTGGGAGGCAACGTGGACGGTGTTTCTCCATGGAAATGCTTATTGTCTGAGGCGGGCACCAACCATGTTAGCAACAGCTTGTCTTTTATGAAGACTTTTTTATCTTTTAAGCAGAGCTTTGAGAGGCTCCAAGGAGGGCAGCTGTACTTGTTCAGCACATGTCTGTTTAGCCCAGGTCAACCACTCTACAATGAGGGCTGCCTATACTGGAGGGTGTAGCCAGGTTCCACAGAGCCCTGGCCCTCTGAGCCATTCCTATCCTTTTATCCACAGAGTCTCATTGATGAGCAGCTGAGCCTCAAGGAAAAACTGTATGTCCTGTCCTTTGGTGTCACCGCCAACCCGCTCTGGCAGGACCCTGTGGAAGTCAGCACTTCCACGTGAGTAGCTGCCAGGACTCCACTGGGATGTCCACTAGTTCAGGTGGTTCAATGGAACATTTGCTGTTACATTTGTGTGAGTGGTGTGTGTGTGTGTGTGTGTGTGTGTGTGTGTGTGTGTGTGTGTATTAGAGTCTAGTGTAGCCCCCAGGCTGGCCTCAAGCTTGTTGTGCAATTGAGAATGGCCTTGAATGTCTGATCTTCCTGCTTCTGAGTGCTGGGGTCACAGGTGCACACCTGGTTTATGAAATTCTAGGGATGAAAACCATGGCTTTATACATGCTGGGCAAACACTACCCATTGAGTTCTGTCTCTAACATTTCACTGAATGTTAAGATGCAAATCCCCAAACCACAACAGCTAGAACACACAGCAATGTGTCAGCAACAGTTGGAAAGTTGGTCACCTCCACAAACTCTTCCAAAATAAAGGACAAGGCCACCACAAGACAGCTCACTTGATTTTTATTTTACTTATTTATTTCCTATTTTTTATTTTTGACGATCTGGAGATGGAACCAGACCTTGAGTGTGCTGGCCGAATGCTCTACCACTGAGCAGTATCCCTCACCCCAAACATCACTTCTGTGCAGCACACCAGAAATGATAGCTTTATTACTATGGAAATAATACAGCCATGTTTTAAATAAACCAAACAATCTGAATGAGTAAATAGCAGTGAATGAATCTCCTTTATAGCATCACTTCTACTCTTACCACCCAGTGATACTCTATCTCTGTCTCCACAGATGGGCTACACACACATACATCTGTGTTCCATCTGGTTTAGGCAGAAGCAAGACAGCTGGGCCTGGTGGTGCATGCCTGTATCCCCAGCTGATCAAGATACTGAGGCAGAAGGATCACACATTTAAAGTCAGCCTGAGCTAGAGTTGCTAGCCTGGGCAACTTAATTAGACCCTTGTCTCAAAATAGAAATTGAGAGTAAATAGGGTGGGGGGCAAAGGACATATGGTTTTGTGTTAGAGCACTGGCTCCACCCCTGCTACCATTGTGTTAGAGCATTGGCTTACCCCTGCTACCATAACAAGTGAACAGCAGAAGCAGGAGCTCACTGCCCTGTCTGTGCTCTGGCTTTTCCTCCAGTTTTACTAGTACTTCCTGTCACTGCATATAGACTCCACTCACCAGCAGTGGTTACATACTATCCCATTGCACAGATGTCCTCTAGTTGGACAAGCTAGTGTGCAATTTGGGGGATTTTGGAACAAGGTACATAGGAATGTCTGTTTCTGCCAGAAATTACAAATTTGTTTTCCATGTTGACAATGTCTTTGATTGGTGTTGGGCATACCATGCTAAGTACTTTACAAGTATGAACGTATTTAAAATCCATAGCCATTGCAATAGAATTATAATATTCATTTTGTAAATGAGGAAATGTGGCCAGGGAATATACCTGGCTGGAATTGCAAAGCTCAGAGCAGAGCCAGGAAACAAACTAACTAACTAAGCTTAGGATAGAGGCGCTTGCCCACAAGCCTGAGGACCTGAGTTCAGTTCCCCAGGTCTCACTCACATGACCAGACAGAGAGAACTGACTCCTGACCTCCACACACACAGCGTAGCATGCCAGCTCCATCTCCCACCAAATAAACAGATGCAACTAAAAACTAAAGCCTAAGCTTTGTTGCCCGTTTGTCCAATACCAGCTTTAAAAAGGACAGTCCAGCCCTGGCCTCGACCACAACTCACTCTCCAGTCCAGCCCTGGCCTCGACCACAACTCTCTCTCTCTCTCTCTCTCTCTCTCTCTCTCTCTCTCTCTCTCTCTCTGCCCCCTCTCTCTTTCTCTATCTCTCTCTATCTCTCTGCCTCTCTCTTTCTCTCTCTTTCTCTCTGTCTCTCTCTGTCTCTCTGCCTCTTTCTCTCTATCTCTGTCTCCCTGCCTCTCTTTCTCTCTCTCTCTCTCTATCTTTCAGAACAGAGCAAATGATACCTGTGCTATTCTCAGAGTTGTTGTCAAGATAAAATGAGGCCCAGAAACCTGTTGTGTAGCAGCTACTTTAAGTGAGAGCCTTTTCATTGTTCTTCACTTCAGCTTGAGCTGGAAGTCACTCTGATATTGCAGTCAAGAGCTCCCCAGCTTCTGTCATGCCTCGGTCTCCCTCATGTCCCCGTGTCATTTCTCTGCCTTGGTACTAATATTTGTTCCACACCACATGCCTCATTATTGATTTTTTCATCACCTCAATTATTCTGTTTATTATTGAGGGAAAGTTAATACCATAACTGAGAAGTATATATCACTTGCCATAATTAGGAAGTAGCAGTAAAAATAAGTGCAGCAAAAGAAAAACAGTAAGATTAAATTCCACTTTGAACACATTATTGGCAGCAGAGAGCGCTTCAGCCTGACACTCATCCTCTCTGCTCAGAAGGGAGACTTGGGTTCAGTGGTGAATTATTTTCAGGGTATGTGCAAGGCTCTGGGCTGCTTCCCAGGACCATAGGAGCAAAAGGGAACTTGACAGCAATAATGAAAACAGCAAACTAGGGTTTTATTTCTGTGCTGGAGTTGAATCCAGAGCTTTACAGATGTGAGGCAAGCCCTGGCCAGGGATGTTCCTTCTGTCAGGCTGAAAGAGAGGTAGGAAGAGCAGAAACGTTGCATCTGAGTTCAGCTGTGTCCACACTTACCAGTGAGTGGCTCTGGAGACACATGGACACAGCTACACAGTACCTTCCTATTCTCAGAGCCTTTATAGAGTCCAGAGATCAACTCCATGTGTCATGCCAACATCTGGCTCCCAGAAGAGCTATGGAAAAGACACAGCTCCAGGTGCTCAAGTAGCAGATCTGTTAAGAACTCAGGTTCCAGGACCAGGGTTTGTAAAAAATCCAGTTGTCTGACCAGTTGTGTGTGGTACATGCCGAGTTAGGCATATTCTAACTCCAAGCCTGAGTCTCCCTGCCTCTAAAATGTAAATAAACATATCCACCACAAGAGTTATGGTTAGACTTAAATGAGCCAACACTTGTCCGGGCCTCACACCTCGTAAAAGTCCTAAAGACTCAGTCACATGTCACGGAAGCACATTTTGGTAAACAACAAATCTGATGTGGTCCTATAAAATTATAATGGAACTGGATGTGGTGGTGCTGGCTTTTAATCCCAGCATTGAGAGATAGAAGGAGGCAGGTCTCTGTGAGGTTTAGGTCAGCCAGGTCTACATAGAGAGTTCTAGGCCAACCAGGGATGGAAGGATGGATGGGTGGATGAATGGATGGATGGATAGAGAGGAATGAGATGATAGATTAGATATGCCTAAAATAAAAATAAGAACCAAAGATAACAGTGCTGAACATGTCCTGTCTTGTCAGAGCTGCTGTGCTTCCAGCCAGCCTCACAGAAGCCGAACAGTACAACAGTTCTGGGACAGTGTATAATGCTTGACAATAACAGCAAATGGCTGTCTTCCTAGTTGGTATAGCTACTGCAACCATGGTTATTTCTCCCCTGATCCTAGGGATGTTGTTACCCAGAGCCTCATGCATGCTGGGTAACACCTCTCCTAAGTAACCTATATCCACAGCCCCTCGCCTATGCTTTTGACTAATGTTTTAGAGCACTCCCTCTCTGTGTATAACAAAGGCTTACTGTGTAACAGTCTGTGGTGTCACACCCTGCAGCCTTATCTTGTATTCCCCTCATCTCCTTCATTACCTTATTTTCCCTCATGGTTGCTTCAACCACCTGCCATTTCGTGCATCACAACACTAGAAGCAATAGGCTGTACCACAGATAAACTCCATAGCCCAGGTATGTGGTTGGCTGAGCCATCTGGGTTTGTACAGTTACATTCAGTGATGTCACACAATGGCAAAACCACCCACAGATATCTCTTAGAACATGTCCTAATCTACAGTTTGAGCATCCTGTCCAAGCACTGAGCCTCGAAGGCTATTCTTGGAGGGAACCTTGGAGAACCGGGTGGTCAAGCTGCATGTGGCTATGGTTAGTTTGCTGTGTCTCCTTCCAGCCTCAAGGAACTCAAGCTCTGGGTAAAGACACTGCAGCCTGAGGGAAGCAGCAATCTGCTACAAGCCTTGAAGAAAGTCCTTGCTCACAAGGAGCTGAACTCTCTGGTGACCATATTGAGAAGCTGGTAGGCCTCCTTTCCTACTAAGCAGGTGGCTGATGACTCAAGCAGTGTCTGAGGGAAAAAAACCACCACCAAGCATGACACTTCACACGCACTTGAAGGAGTATTTACATCAATAGACCACCTACATGTGGGCAGGGGAGCCAGGACTGGCTAGGGCTGCTGTCCACCCAGCCCCGCATCTTACCCAGGTGACCTGGGACACAGGTGATCAGCTAAGAGTGAGTAAAGGGGCTTGGAAGGTAGCTCCGTAAAGTGCCTGCAAGCTTGAGGACCTAAGTTCAGATCCCCTGCACTCATGGGAAAAAAAACAAACAAAAAACATTGCATGCCTGTAATCTTAGCACTGGGGAGGCAGAGACAGCAACAATTGGTGGTGCTTATTGGATGGCAAGACTAGCCAATCCAGGTTCAGTGAGAGACCCTATCTCAGAAAATAGTGTAAAGAATGGTGTTGGAAGACACAAGAAGACATAGACTACTGGCCTCCACATGCACACACACATGAGTGTACAATCACATACATGAAGACATGTACACGTAAGTGTACACACACACACACACACACACACGGGGGGGGGGGGAGTTCCCTGGAAATTACCATTTTGATCTGGGATGTTCACAGCACAGTTTCAGTGGGAATAGCCATGCCTTCTCTTCCATCCACTCCCCAGTCCAGATCAGCCTTCTGAATTTCTGTCTGACTTCATCCAGCAGTCCACCCTGGGACGGAGCCAATTCATTCATGTAACCACCTACAGATGTGATGATCATGTGCCCTCTGTGAGTGTCTGGATTGCCCCCCCCCCCCAGTGTGGACTAGAGCACACCTCTCCTGCACGCTTTTCCCATGGATAAACGGGAAGTGTGGGAGGGTCTGAAGGCTCAGCCAAGGAAAGGTTTGTTAAAACATCGGTGTGGCCTTGCCACCATGGCTGACTCTGTCACCATCCCCCAGGCTGTTCTGAAGAACCTCACAGATGCCCTTGGGGGTTACTACCACTGCTACAGCCCAGAATCAGAGGTAAGCCTTTGGAAGACCGGCTGTACCCACTCCCTGCTTCAAGACTCTGCCATGAGCTTGCTTTCCCCGCTTCATCATCCTTGCCTTTCATGCTCAGTGACTTGCACAGGTAAAATCATAGGACCCTGAAAGTGTGAAGAGAAGAGGGTTAAGCTGAAGTCATAGGCTCCTCGGGTAGCTTGTCTGATGAGCTGGTTACACCCTTGTGAATCTTGAGACATTTCAGACATTTCGACAGTAGTTCTGCTTCAGAATCCTCCATCACTGTCTAGGAATAAGCACAGCGCCAGCTGGTTTTTGTTTTTTTTTTAAAGAGATTCGACATTCCTTTTTTTTTTTTAAGATTTATTTATTTATTATATATGAGTACACTGTAGCTGTCTTCAGACACACCAGAAGAGGGCATCAGAACTCATTACAGATGGTTGTGAGCTACCATGTGGTTGCTGGGATTTGAACTCAGGACCTCTGGAAGTACAGTCAGTGCTCTTAACCACTGAGCCATCTCTCCAGCCCGCCAGCTGGTTTTAGTTCCCACCAGAGCCCCCAGACTGAAGCAATGACTCCACATTTCTTCCCTAAATAAGCCCCCACTCTTGTAAGAGACTCACAGGAGGGCAGATCCATGGCAAGCCACTCATTGGTGTCCTTGTCCCTGTTAACAGCTAAGCACCATTTACACTGTGTGGTCAGAGGAGGTAAAGGTTAACATACAGCAACTCTGTCTGGCAGATGCAGGATTCAGTCTAGTGGTGTGTGATGGTTCATATTCTTAGTACTGGCTTGCTGTTATAGGAATCAAGAAGGTCTCAAGTTCAAGGCCAGCTACACAGGGAGACCATGTCTCAGAACAAGGGGAATGTAAGCATCGGTTAGCAGCCATGTCTGCCAACAGTCATCCAGGGCACCACATGAAGGAGTGTTTGCCTCTCACAAGTCATCTCCCAGATCTTCAGCTTCATTGAGGTGTTACAAAGTCTAGCTTTTCATGTTGAGAAGTCAAGGACAGGCATCAGCCCATTTTGCTACTTCACTGTCCCAACTCTGATTACAGATGTCACAGATTATAGGGGCTAGAAAGAGGAAATGATTGAAAATAGTTGATTGAAAAAAATTTTATCTGTCAGACATGGTGATGCATGCCTTTAATCTCAGCACTCACTTGGAAGCAGAGGCAGAAGGATCTCTGTGAGTTTGAGGCCAGCCTGCTTTAATAAGGGCTATAGAGAAAGATGAGAGAGAGAGAGAGAGAGAGAGAGAGAGAGAGAGAGAGAGAGAGAGAGAGAGAGAGAGAGAGA